CCCCTCTCCGATCATCCAGCGCTGACTGGAGGAATGGACTGGGGAGGGGGCGGGCACAGCTGGCACTGCCTCTAGATAAGCAGAGCCAGCTGTCACTCACACAGCTGGGTGGATCTCGACAGTAATGTCGGGATCCGTCCCAGCTGCTGCGGTCTCAGTATACTGCGAGCTGTAGCTCCCTATATACTGAGATTTGGGTCACGGGAGGACGCTAGTATATGTCCTCCCGTGACCCTTAAGAGAACTATGGGGAAAAACACTTAATGACAATTAGTTTACAAAAATACTGGGTATCATAAACAGTTGTCATTTCTTTTCTCACCCGTTGTTGCATCTCTCCCTCTCTACATAAACTCCTGTGTTGGCTGCATGGCATTTATCAGGGTGGGCTTCCTGATGGTGACAACAGTGGACCATACCCCTGTGCATGCATATGGCAGCCTGCAGTCTCAATTGGGTAAGCATTTGATAGAGTGGCAAGGGGCCCAATTGGAAGACAAGGACAAAGCATTACTTATCTATAGGCAGATCTGTATCTATGAACCAAAACAAGGACCTTCTGTGGCAGATTGACTGGGTATTATTTTAATGAAAGCTGATTAATACATATACAAAATGACTTTTGAAGCTTATATGCAATTTTAATAATTGGGTTTACATCTACTTTAATGTTATCCCGCCGCAGCCAAATGGGCTTTTTTTTTGGAGGTTATAATCTGAGAAACAGCAAGACCCTACAACAGGTGGGAGCCAGGTTATCGGCTCAACATCTGAGCAGTTGGTGTTGCCAGAACATAAAATTAGCGGGCAAGCTGATTTGAAGCAGTGCGTGGGTGCGGTCTAGTGTAGCAGTAGCATTATGATTCCTCCCCCTGGAATTGAGAACCAAAACCCAAGGGAGGTAGATTGTGCCCACCGTGTACACTTTTTCAAAATTTACTGCAGCACACCTAAACAAACCAAGGAAACATTTGGCCTTAGACAATCTCAGCTTTGTATGCCGCCCCCTCTGGAGTCAGTCTACTGACTTGATGGCAGCTGTGGATAACCGGAGATTGCACATTAGCACATTAAAGAAGAATGATTGAATGGGATTTAATCACAATTCACAGTTCCCAGTCAGGATTTCCTAATTTGCAAATTCACAATTCAATAATCACAGTTAAAGGTTAAGAGAATGTGTAACCAATTTTCGCTGAACAAAAGTGCTTAGGATATGAAATATTACCTGGGGCAAATATGAGGATGGGAATTCACTGCTCGCAAAGAAAACTGAGTAACACAATCAATAATCAAAGATTCAATCTTTTAAATTTTTTTAAATTGCTGTTGTTGTCAATAATGGAGAAAAATAATGTAACGCCAACTTTTCGAATGTGCAATTACTGGACGCCAATGTATACACTGAGGGATTTGTGAGGTTTTATTAAAATGCATTAACATATTTTAGTCCCCCCAGCAGACCCCAACATCCACTAGACCCAGGATGTGGCTCTTTTACCAATCAACCTGGGCTCAAGGTGCCTTGCCAGGGGCCTCCCTTGGTCAATCAACCTGGGCTCAAGTTGCCTTGTCAGGGGGCCTCCCTTGGCAAGGACCCTCCCATGTTAAAGAAAGGTAGCCTTGTATGGTTTAAAAGAGTACACAGACTGTCCTTCCCTTTCCTGGCCATCTGTAGGGTGTATGATTGGATAAGGGCTTGGTAAGGATTATGGGAAGGGGGGTACAACTTTTTTTGTCCCCCTACAAAATCCATACCAGACCACTATCTAGTGCAGTCTGTTATCGATTATGTAGGGGGGCCCTATACTTTTTTTTGTGTGTGTTTTTATGTGGGGTTTCCCTTAAATATCAATACCAGATCCCTATCTAGGATAAGGATAATAACGATGCCAGATTGTTTCTTCTTCTTCTGCAGGGCATGTTGCCTGGTATGTTTGCTTGACCTCCAAGGCTGCATGGCAGAATAGGGATCTCTTGTGGATTCTGAGGGGACCTCCCAGAAAAAAAAAAAGGTATGGCGTCCCCCTTAAAAATCCATACCAGAATCCTGTCCTAGATTTAAAATGCTATCAACTAGGGATGAACCAATACCGATACTAGTATCAGTGTCGATACCGTGCATTTGGGGGAGTACTCATACTTGC